CATCAAAAACTAGAACATCTTCAGTATCACAATATCTCACACCGTGGCACCACCTGTTGGTCTTTTCACCTGCACTAAACTTCACTCCATTTTCCTTTAAGGATCTTTCAGTCTTATCAGAAGGCTCTTTTGTGAATTGGTGACTAAATAAAACCATTTTCATAGACCCCAAGATGATTTAATCACTCAAATCTGTATTCAATAACCATTCAGGGACTGTGCAAAGTAACCTTTATATAAGGGTGACCTCTGAGTAAGGGTTTGTAAACCGGGCTGTCCGAGCTGTTCCTGGGTGGTGGTTACCTGGGGGTTGTTGCTGAATGGAGGTGGTTGCTTGAACAGGTTTGACTGTATATATTTTATTTCAGAATTGTAAGCATGCTCTGAAATTAAAACTGACTGGATTTCAGTCTGCAACTTTGCTAGTTGCAAGGAGATACTGTACAAACTGATTCCACCTTCTCACATGATTTCATATAGTCTGGAGTCCTGTAGCTCAGTGGTTAGAGCACTCACCTTGCAAGCGGGAGACCTGGGTTTGATTCCTGGCAGGGCAAAATGTTGAGCAAGTTTCAATCCACGACTGTTTGTGGGACACTGCTGTATGCAATTGGCTGCCGCTTTTCGCCCACAAATATACAGTCAATTCACTTTACAGTATATTCTGTGAAACATTTTGAGACGTCTAGAAGATGTGAAAAGCACTATATCAAATCTAAGGATTATTATTATTAACTACAGTATTATTTATGGGTGCTCTTTGTAATTGCACAGTAAATTAAACATTCAACTAAGCACTTATTCCATGTTATATATGTGACACATGAACAATAAGATCAGTGACAGCCATCATATAATTATGGGGAGTGTTTTTACTTCAATCCATTTTAAATTATTCTATGTCTATAATTCTCCATTAAATATAACATAATTAGTGAAAATTATTTGTAGACAAAACATAAGCACTTAGCGCTAGAAACCCGTTTAAACACACTAATTGGATCCAATCCCATTGTGAATAAGCAAACTGTGCGGATAATTGGTCATCACTTAAAATACAAACCGGCTACAGTGTTAATTAACATTTTCTATTAAAAGTTATCCTGCAACTATAGTACATTATGCCAACCCTTTCCTCTTCCCACTTTCTCCCTCTGGCTCTTTATTTGTCAGATTATTTGGGTTTATCTCTTTCTCTTCGAGTCTGTTTGTCACTTTCTTTCTGACTCTTGTCTCTTTCTCAATTTCGTCTGACTCTGTCTAACTCTCCATTTCTTTCTGGATCTTTCTTGCTCTAATGCTAAGCTGCACTCATCTTGATGTTGCTGGCAAAAACATCCAGTTATGACATGGATGAGTTTAATCGACCCACAATTTAGTCGTACTACGTGGACAGATCACATCCCTGGTAACATTATGCACATGCAGGCAATTGACTGTATAATTTGCGGGCGAAACGCGATAGCCAATTGTGCACAGCAGTGTCCCACAAAGAGTCGTGGATTGAGTGACCAATTATTTTTAAGGAATTATTACCCCCGGAAAAGCAATCTGCAAAGCGACGAACAACCAGGTTTCTACTTACTGCTAGGTAAACAGAGGCGTGTTGAGTAAGGAAAGTTGCCCAAGGTTTCACCCTGCCGGGAATCGAACCTAGGTCTCGCACTTGCGAAGCGAGTGCTCTAACCACTGAGCTACAGGACTCCACAGTATCAGTTATACAGAGAAGGATCTGATGTGAAGTAATGATTGCAGAAGTTATAGACTTGTGTAGCATGTTGTAGTTCGGCATCCTTCAGCACTTTCCATTTCAAAATCAACTGTATATACATTTCATTAATTATGGAAATCAAACTAAATTCATTTCATCCTCTGGCTTTCACTGTTAACGCAATCCTTACTGTTTCCATCATCTAGTTTTTACCTTGACTTGCCTGATTTGCAGGCAGTTTATCAGTACTATAGATCTTCGCTATGGAGACCTCACTGGTTGCTCACAGAGCTGCAGCAAACTCGCATGCAGTCCTTTCTCACTAGAGGTGCTACCACATCACAGATGAGCTGCAAAGACTCTAAATGCAGGCAATTGATATTTTGATTTGCAGAAGGTACCTTATTTTGTTTTAAATTCCCATATTATTGAATGTGATATGCCTCCAAAGCTACTAATAAAACATAATGTGTATTTGAAAGCATACAGATGGGCCTGTTACATTCACAATATTGGAAACAAAATGTAATGCTTTAGGAATTGATTGTTTTTTTTACTGTGCAAATGATTTCAATGATCATAAAAAAAAGAACAAAAGAGATTTCAAGCGGAATGCAAACATTACTCGAGTACACAAGCTGGCTGAAGATAAAGTAACGGGACTGACATATCGATGGTATCAAATATTAAAGGGAATAAAGGGTATTAAAGGGATCAATGAGGGGTACTGAGGGTCAGACTCTAATGTAGACATTAGGCTGATGATTGAAGGAGTCCTAATTTTTTTTGACTGTTATTTCAAGATGTCATGTTACAGTGCATAAAAAAATCATTCAGCTCATCAAGTCACCCTGGCGTTTTTCTCCACATCAGACAATGTAATCCCTACTCTCTTGCTCACTTGCCATATCCTTTAATATTCTCTTCTCCATGAATTCATCCCTCTCAAATTTTCTTTTGAAAGAATCTATGGATTCTGCCTCAACCACTGTTCTTCGTCGAAAATTTCACATTCACGCAACCCTCTGTGTAAAGGAAATGGAGAAACTGATGGAAGACGGATTCCAGAAATAATGCTTGAGGACAGACTGTGATGATGAAAAAAAAGATGTGGAGAAAATAGTGAAAGACATAAGAATCAGGAAGCAGAAGGATAAAGTAATGGATGAACAATAAGCATGTCAGGCTGTGTAAAGAATGAAAGCAGTGACTGATCTATGTGAAGGAATTTGTTAAAGGGAGTCCAGGAAAGTGTAGGAGAATGAAGAAGACACAGGTTGGATGTTTATCAGCCTAGCTGTGTCAATTCTGGTTTGTCTCTAGGTCAAAATGTTGTGGATTCAAACCCCACAGGTCTTTGAGCTCAGTTTAGGCCCACACTGGGAGGAGTTCTACATCATTGGAGGCATCATCATTTTCCTGGTGCCCTGGCCAAAAATCCTCCAGATAAGCTGATTATTGACTTCATGGTGGTTTGTGGGAACTGGTAGGCACAAATTGGCTGCAAAACCACCATGACATATACGTACCAATACACAGTGATTACACTTGAGTGAAGAGGTTTGAAATATGTTCACATAGGTACAATATCAAATGCCAATATTATTACTATATGATAAAGCATGATGGCAAGACAAAATGAGAACCGTGAATACAAGTGGGAGAGTGTCGGGTGACATTCAAAGGAGTAGAGATAGAGTGAGGAATTGTGTCAGTAATGGAAGAATAATTGATACAGTAAGCTGCTGGGAGAGATTGAGGAATGAGTTGGTGATGGCAGATAGAACAATAAGGACATTGGAGACTTTAGGATGGAGAGCACGGATGTGGACAACAAGGGACAGATGGCAGAGCGATGGACGGACATCAAGTGAGATCAGAGAGCAGGCGATGTGGAATCTGAGAGAAAGATGAAAGTGTTAAACTGCAAAGATTAGGTGGGAAGGAAGGGTAAGACAGACATCAGCAAGAATAATACAAAGAAAAATCGAGATGAGAAAGAAAGGTTGAGATTATGGAGACAAGAAATGTAATAGAGAGGAATTGATTGAGGCCTTGGAGACAGTGTGAAACAAATGAGTGTCAGCAAGACAGAATGAGGTCATAGAAACAATGAGGGATAAGTAAGAGAAAGAGAGATTGGGACCGTAGAATCAGCAACCGAAAAGCATTCAACAAGTAATAGAAATTCATTATTAGATTGTATACATAGACTTCTTGTCAAGGACTAAAAATCTGAACATAAGTTGGGGGGAGAAAGCAAGGCAGCCCAACACCCAGTTAGCAATTTTATTAAAACCATGGCAACTCTTTACATTTTTGATCCCAACATTTGCTGGATTGTAAAAAAAAATTATTTGAAAATAGAAGACACAAGAACTAAAAAGTGCAACCTTTCTGAGCAGTGCATTTTCCCAGCATTTTCTACCAGTTCGCATCCAGAAGATTGTTTTTGTATTTTTCTTTACTTTACTTTTCAATAGAATTTCACTCAAACTTTAATCAGCTCCAGTTCAATTAACCACCCAGTGATTTTTACATTCCCAATGAGCCAGAGGGCAGCAGATTTTAAAGGTCTAAAATGACAAAACAAATACATTCATACAAGCACTGGAGCCTCTTGTGGGTGGACGGACAACAATGGAAAAATATGAACTTAGTAGGAACTGATTGTATAGAGTAACCACATATATATCTCAAAAATGTGCTGGATACAATGCCTAACTCAACTCAAATAGAGAACACTCTGTAGTGTGCTTCAAATACCAAATAATAAAAAAGTAAATTACCTATTTCATAAATGTCTTCATCAATAATTTATTACTGATAACTATTTGCTCAATTTCATTCAAAATGTATTTCTAATGGTGAAAAACATTGTAACTTATTGTTTCGCCTGTTCTTATTTAGTGTGTTTCAAACACCAAACAATGAAAAACAATACATTTGGGGCATTGTTGTCCAACAATCCCTCTAAATAAAATTAGTCACTCATTTCACCTCTGTTTGTGGGACATTGCTGTGCGCAACTGACTGTCACGTTTCACAAAATAAACAGTCAATCCACTTTACAGTATATTCTGTGAAGCACTTTGAGATGTCTCAACAAAGTGATTAGGTGCTATATCAAATTCAAGGATTGTTATTATTATTATTATTAAAGGCACTTCCTAGTGGATAATTGTGAGGCTATTTTCTATGTAAATCTTGACATGAACTTTTGCATTTCATTGAACAGATTACCTTGACTCAAAATTGTCATTTCATGGGGAAGCATGTCAAAGGATACTCAGCAGCAGTATGATGTGTGACTCTGCAACAAACTGAGCTTGGCTGCTCCCGTGGATGTAGCTCTGTGGAAAAATTTAATTAAAACAATGTTAAAAATAGAAAATAAAATGTGGCTTCAAAAAATAAAGGATTAAATTTTACCAACTAATTTGATACACTCAGCCATAACATTTATATGCGCCATTTTCAAATTGTGTTCCTGAATGTCTCACTGAAGTAAAACATGGTCATTTATAGCTAAGGTTTAGTAAAAACACTTAAGGTAAAGAAAGAAATGCAACATAAAATACAATCTTAAATATGTTCACTGTGATTAGTATCAATGAAGGGTTCAGGACTCTATTGACAAACATTAGTCTAATAGTAGTTCCAGACTCAAATCATAATGTGAACCATCATTCAAACCTGCCTTAAGGGTTTGGAGCAGGTTACTGGTCTTAAACGCCTTGGAGGAAATAATGGCATAGGGAGCGATTTCTTCCAACAAACTGGGAACTGCCAGGTGATAGGAAGTGACATTGACAACAGCTGTGTATTTGTGCCTGAGAATGATTTGTGTTGTTGGTTAAAGAAGGAAGCAGATGGAGGGAGGGGGATTGAGAAAGCACTTGAAAGAGTAAACAAACGTAAATGGTGCAAGCACTGAGTAACACGGCCATAAGGTGCATCACATGTTCATTACACCGACCTGAAACTGCTGAGATTTTGCACGTAAGTCTGATGCACATCAGATTCCCTGCGGGGAACACACTTTACAACTCAAAAGCAATTTTTAAATCTTGTTGTGCAACAAGATATGATAGCTGTGCATTGAATAAATTGTGGACCTCTTAGTGAATGAGAACAGTGTTCATGCTATTTAGACCGCAGTTTTTCCATTCAGCAATTTATTTTCAACCTCAGCATGGCATCCAGTCATAAATACAATCCTAAAATGTTTTAAAACACAAGAAGCCACTTGGCCCATTGTGTCTATGCTGGTGCTAGCTCCCCAATTGAGCAATCTATCAGACTCAAGCACAGGTGTCAAAGGAGTCCTGTAGCTCAGTGGTTAAACAACAAGATTACAGTTGTATAGCGCCTTTCACGTCGGGAGGACGTCCTAAGGCGCTGGATAGCATTTCAGACCCGAGCTGGGGTCAAGGGGGGGGAGAAGGGAGGGAAAGAGGGGTGGCCGATAGCATGGTCGAAGAGGAGGGTTTTGAGGCGGGACTTGAAGGAGGCTAAGGAGGGGGCGAGACGGAGTGATTGAGGGATGGAATTCCAGAGGTTGGGGGCAGAGTGGCTGAAGGCTCTCCGCCAATGGTGGGACGGGTGGGTCGGGGGACGTGGAGCAGGTCAGAGCCAGCTGAGCGGAGGGGGCGGGCGGGTTAAAGCACTCGCCTTGCAAGCGAGAGACCTGGGTTCGATTCCCGGCAGGGCAAAACCTTGGGCGAGTTTCCTTACTCCACATGCCTAATAATAATCCCTCAAGAAAAAAAAACAATAATAAATTGGTCACTTCAATCCACGACTGTTTGTGGGACACCGCTGTGTGCAATTGGCTGCCACGTTTCGCCCACAAATATACAGTCAATTCACTTTACAGTATATTCTGTGAAGCGCTATGAGATGTCTAGAAAATGTGAAAAGCGTTACATCAAATGCAAAGACTATTATATACTATCTATTCCAATCCCAATTCGAGCTGTGGGCAGAAGATGGTAGGAACGTTCACACACATTTCATGCTGAGCAGTGCTGATCACCAAGAAAATCACAGGGAGTTCCTGGTACCTGCCATTCATCTAGTGAGGGCTCAAACCTGTGCTTGTCGGATGTCAAATGACCAACTAGTTACTATCCTTCTTGGGTGGAGTGCTAAGTGGAGTTTCGTTGGAGCTGAGTTCAAGCTGACATGCTTGATAATCAAATGTCAAATCAAGTGATGACCTTTAGTCAGAACTGGGGAATGATGGAAGGGAGCAGTTTATAAGGACAAACAGAGAAGGGGGTGGGGAAAGAAAGTCAAAGGAAAAAACTAGGTGGAGGACAGGTGATGATAATCACAGAGGTGTTGATGGTGCAAGACTAAAGAAGGCAATAGAGAGAGATTATAGAAATTAAAGATGTGCCTGAGACCCAAAGGATGTGTGAATGGTTATAGAAGAGGGGGAGGGGAGAGGGGGGAGGCAGGGCTGAGAGAAGACAGGGGCTGTGCTTAAGGTTTGAAGTGGTTAAAATTCATGTTGAGGTCAGAGGGCTGCAAGGAGCCTAGGAGGTAGATGAAATGCGTTGTGTTTCATTGGAGCAGCCAATAGGCCAAGGACAGAGAGGTCAGAGTGGGAGTGGGATGGAGAATTAAAGTGGCAAGCCAACAGAAACTCAGGGTTGCACTTGTGGACGGAACAACAACGACAACAAATTACATTTTTATAGCGCCTGTACATAGTGTCCTTCATGTAGGAGAATGTATTACAGTGCTATACAGCGACAAGGGGGTGGGGGCAGGTGACCATAGATGCAGTCAAAAGGACAGTTTTTAAGATACGATTTGAATACACATGGAGATAGACAGGGGGCAAGGCAGAGACATAGAGGCATCACACCACAGCAAATGTAAAAGACCTCAGTTTGGGTGCCCAGCTAGGACTGCCAAGTGTCCTGGGACATCCTTTCAATGTGGAATTTGCTATATAAATGTCAATTATATTGTTTACTGACTCCTTCATCATGTCAAAACTGATCATAACCGTTCAAATATCTTAGCTACAACAAGGCTGTTTAAATAAAATGCAGAAGTTTATAGCAAGACACAAAACAGACACTGAATAAACCAAGTTGAGATTTGAGGTTAAAACAGAAGTCGTTGCGAACACTCAGCTGGTTGGGCAGCATCTATGGAGAAAGGAAATTGAGTCAACGTTTTGGGTCCACGACCCTTTGTCAGAATCGAAACATTGGGACATGTTCAAAAGTCTATTAGTTCTGACGAAGGGTCTTGGACCCGAAACGTTGACTCACTTTCCTTTGCCTGACCTGCTGAGTGTTCCCAGCAACTTCTGTTTTTGTTTCAGATTTCCAGCATCTGCACTATTTTGCGTATTGAAATTTGAGGTTTCCTTTTTTCAAAAAAAATAATGATCTGGCTTCCTCAAAAACGTTTCACATCGAGGTACTTACTTTAAAACTTCAGTTTGAGCGTTTCAACCCATTTTACCAATTTCATTATAGAGATAACGTGAGTATTTGTCTCACTTGTGCCAGTTATATGTTACAATAAATCTAACATAAGTAAGAAGGCATCGTGTGCTGTTTGCTTTTTGACAGATTCAAGTTTAAGCTCTTCAGACCAAGGGATTGATACAATCTGTGTGTTGTTCATTTTCATTATGTCTGGAGATACAAACTTTTTCACAAGTTTTTTTTCCAGCCCTCTGTAACTGCCACTTCCAATGTGATTTTTAGTGGAATTGTGCTGTCACTAACCTGTCAATCAAGATTCACATATTGTGATCACACTTATTACTTACGTTGCAAACTACTTGAACATGCTTATCGTCCCCATCAGGCTTCTGTCAAGCCAAGTTTAGTGGAATCATCACAAGTTTTCGCAAAGACAGAAACTTACATGATCCGAACAAGGAACCCCAAACTCTGAATCTGAGCATTTTTTATGATTTAAAAAAAATTGTTGACTGATACTTAAAAATCCATTACTTTCTGAATCAAATTACTTCATAAAACAGTTTGTAGTAAACATTGGAACCAAAGCAGACTAAAAATGATTACTAATCAGAGTAACTACCGTGTTTATATATTTACAATATCAGGCTACAGACTCGAATGTTAAAGTTTACATTCAAATGAATAGCACTCATTGTTCATTTATTGTTTAGGAAATCATGTATGAAATGGTAAAAGTATATTTCTTATTAAGCCACTAGTGTAATCTATTATGGAGTCTGTTCCACTGATTTTATTGCTGTGAGAAAGTGCTCAGTACATTTTCTCTGATCCATACAAATAATCAAGTGAAACTCCTGAATATCTATTGCAAGAGTGGTTGTGTCAATATACAACAACAAAATTACATTTGTATAGCGCCTTTCACGTCGGGAGGACCTCCCAAGGCACTGGACAGACAGAGTTACGGACCCAAGCTGAGGGTCGGGGTAGGGGAGGGGGGGAGGGCAGGGGGAGAAGCAGGGAGATCAAAAGCACATTCGAAGAGTAGGGTCTTGAGGTGGGTCTTGAAAGTGGCGAAGGAGAGGGCGAGACAGAGGGACTGTGGGATGGAGTTCCAGAGGGTGGGTGCAGAGTGGCGGAAGGCCCGCCCGCCGATAGTGGGGTGAGCAAGGTGGGGGTGTGAAGCAGGCCAGAGCCCGCTGAGTGGAGGGAGCGAACAGGGTGGTAGGGGGGTTAGGAGGTCGGAGAGGTAGGGGGGAGCAAGACCGTGAAGGACTTTGAAGGTGAGGACCAAAAGTATGTTGGTTACAGTTCTAAAACCCAAGGTCTCGGTAAAGAAAATATCATTGAAAAGTTATTTCAATCAGACGACAGTTGAAATTCTGCACAAACCTTGTATCTCACTCAAAGTTTACAGGGTTGATTTTACCAGTGCCAATCTAAATAGGTGGCAATTCAGAAAAATAACAACGATAGCCTGCAGTTCACTGGACTGAAATAGGACTTCCACAAGAAATAAGTAACTATTTCAAAGAAGCACATCCATTTGTCTGCAGGGACCGTAAGTCAACTCCAGCAAAGAAATCTGAAGCACTCTTTGGTGAACTCTTTAATGTAAGCCAATGTCTGAAACTTATTTGCAGTATTTAAATAAACACCAGCCAGCATCATGGGTGCCACTAAAGCAAAATTTCCACTGATGTTTTGATCATCGATCTGGTATCTGGTAAAATATATAGTGAGGGTGATGAACTAGCAGTTGCAACATCAGAAGTGATCTGAATTGATCACATTGCTCATCTGGGTGACATTCAGTTTCCATATTCCTTTCACTATTCATTACCATAAATGCTACTTTTGTTGCAATGGGATATTGACAGCAATATAGAGAGGAC